GAAACAATTTACTGAACGTTGTAAATGGCAAGATTCCGGCGTGTGGGATGGATTGGCAGAACGCGTATAAGGTGTATGCCCCTTGTATGTTGACGAAGTACAAACATTAGGTGGCTGTAATGATTGATCTGGTTAAGTGTGCGATCAAAGTGTACGATTCAATGATTTCACTTATTCCAGATGAGATCTTAAAGGAAGAACTCGCCCCGCTTTCAATTACGATTCCAAATCTTCTCAACACCATCGACTTTTATGAAGAAGGTGTTTACGCAAACGATTGCAGCCGAGATTGGTGATGTCCATGGCCAATAGAACGTGTGGATGTTCCGTAACAGTCTAATCAGTGAGCACAACTCTTTATTTAATTTTATTACTTAAAATTGTCAATTATGTTAGAATGTCATTAGTTGAATTGATCGAGTTCTTGTTTTGCTTTATAGGCGATTGTGGCATGTTCGTGTTGAAGTACATTGAGGTTTTGAGCGCTAAGATTCCATTAGCTACTTGCACCTCGTAAAACATGCCTTTTTTTCAGTTGAAGTTGGCTGCAGAGATATTACGGGGAGATGCTTACATGGCATGATATTGGTTGAACTTGGTTTAGGTACATTAGCATGATATTGGAACTTGGTTTAGGTACATTGGCATGATATTAGTTGAACTTGGTTTAGGTACATGATGATTAAATAGGTTTTGGGAATGTCCAATTTCAGACTCATGTAAATACACAATAGAGACCCACGGGTCCTTTTCAAATTCTACCTCTGCTCCTCAATTCTTCTTCATCTTTCTCAATCTTAGTGTATTTTTGTACATAATTTTATGTTTAAGTTATTGGACAATAACAATTAGAAACAAAATAGTGGCAACTATTATAGCGGATGCATGCTTTCATTTCGATTAGTGTGATACTACGCTACGTTTATTCTCATATTGTGCTAAATGTATATGGAGCTGGATGCAGAGCATAGACAGAAAAATGAAGAATCCGAAATGGAGATGCTGATGCTTGGTGAGGAGAAAAGTAAATGGATATGTAAATCTATTGCACGTGGGCAATCTAAATGGATAGGCAGATGCGTTTTTGAAGTTAGACACATGCCATTCCCATTACATAGAATGTGCAACTGGAGTGTAAAGTTTTTTTGGATTTAATGAAACAAACATCTGTGTAATATTGGCCTAAATCCTTCACGACATTTACATAACCTTAACCAAACTGCATTGAATTGGGATTTGAAGACTGCATATGTGAATTGAGATTTGAAGAATGCATATGTATTGCATCTTAATAAGGTAATTCTGTAAGGGGAATAGGCGGCTATGGCCTCGCCTCCAATGTTTTATTCAACCATGTCCTCTTTATAGAAACATATGAAAAAATGTTCCCAAGTGCAATGCTATAAAAACTCCCTATTGGTTCTATACCACTCCTCGGGTTTGAATCCCTCTCTACTTTATAATCGGTTAATAAATTCGTTGATTTTCTTTATTTTATTGGTTTTGGGCAGCTCAGTAGCATAAAAGTAATGTATATTGGTGCGTCTATATTGCATGTCTGTTGGATCTATATTGCTTGTCTATTGCATGCATATCTTACATTTATTGCTTGTGTATTGATTGTTTATTGCTTACGAAGGAAATAAACAGCAATACACAGGCAACAGCCAAGCAATATGCACACAACAGAGAAGCAATATACACGAAATAGACATGCAATATACACACAATGGACATGCAATATATGCACAATGGACATACAATATACATCAATCCCCAATTACACCAACCATAAGGAAGTCGTACTGAATAGGAAATTCTACTTAACAGTTGTTCTTCCTACTAAAAGAAAGAATAACGATCGTTTTCCCCCTTAAATCTAACTCCTTAAATCTTACTTGAGTGGTACTTTTGCCCCCAATGAACATGCAATATTGGAGCAATAACATGCGATATACATGCAGTAAACAATCAATAACCCTTCAATAAACATTCAATATCAGTTCAATAACATGCGAAATACATGCAGTTACAATTAATAAACCTTCAATAAACATTCAATATCGGAGCAATAACATGCGAAATACATGCAGTAAACAATCAATAAACATTCAATATCGGAGCAATAAAATGTGAAATACATACAATAAACATTCAATAAACCTTCAATAAACATTCAATATCATGCGACTTACATGCAGTAAACAATCAATAAACTTTAAGTATACGCAAATAAACAATCTATATACACTGAATAATTATGCAATTTTCAAAAAAAAAGTATTGTCTTATTATTGCATCGTATTGGCCCTGTATTGTGATTTTATCGTCTTCGTATCACTTTATTTTTTGAAGTAAGTCTTGGAAATTTTTTGCTGGGTTTCAGAAAAATAAATATTTTTGTTTCAAACAATAATTTAAACCCAATGCCAATCAACCTATTTCAAAAACAAAAATTACAAAATAGTTTTGAAAACTCATTGATGGTGTGTGCAACATGTCCTTTTGGGGAGAACTTTTACAATGCTTGAAACCGTGCACTTAATTGGTCATTAAAAGAACAAATAATATGACAATTGATACAACTAATAAAACTAATACCAAGTCCTTAGTGGACTTTAGCATATTCAGCACTGTAGCATCATACGTGTCATTTTGCTGTTCTGCTTCAGCGGAGGTTACATTAACCCATTCGAATTCATTGCAACTGGTGGCTCCCTAATTGCAGGCATCATATATGCAAAATAATTCTGTCAGAGTTAGACCTAGGTATTTTTCACCTACATACATATTCTGGAAATGAAAACTTACATAGGAGGTTAGACACTTCCAAAATGGCTTCCTTCGAATTTTATCTGATTTTGAAACCCGAAGCACCATTGCAGCTCCATAATACTAACACCTCTTTGTTTGAGCGGGAGATGAAGACAAAGACATGTTGAATCTTCTCACTTGTACCTCTTCTCACTCAGATCTTCTCACTGAAACCTTTTCGGACTCATACCTTCTCACTCATATTTCTCAGTCATACCCCTTCACTCATATCCCTAAGCTTCTCACTCAACTCTCTCTCATCTCTGCCCAAATCGAATTATATCCTTCTTTTCTGTGTGTGGGTGGGTTGGTCATGATCTGGACACCTGTACCGTCAGAATTGTGACACCTTTTACCCCGAAAAGCAATATAATATTTCACTACCAAATATTAATCTAAAAATTGAGGGGACACTACTTTAAATATATTATTTTATTTATATTTCATTAAGGCAACTAGTTGGGTAAGAATCCATCATCATTGGTTTCATTTTAATAACATTACTAGGGGTAGTTTGGTGTGGGAAAATGAAAAGTATCTTATGGAAACTTCTGTGACTAGTCAGTAATCCAGCACATTTGTATCAATTAATTTGATGGTCGGAAAATCCTAAAAATGGCTATGGAAATAGGTTATTAATTGACTTTTTGACTGTCTGACTCTCTTTGCATTTCGATGATGTTTTCCTTTCTCTTGTCTTGAGTTTTAGGGTGTTGTGAAACGACCTGACCCAAATTCCACTTTGGAATCCGGGTTGAACCCTGTTAAAATTGACACCTGGTGGGTGTGGGTGACAAATGACCAAAATGCCCTGAAAAACAATAACACAAACTCCAAGGCCCTAACTCGTGGCTGCACCTGATAACTGTACGCTGCCTACGTACCCTTACTGAGGGATCAAGCCACACGTAGTTCTTTCCTCTGTCCCTGATCTGCAACTGTTTTGTTTATTGTAAACCTAGCTCTAGGGCTGGCATTCCTAGAGTGTCCGGGACTCCGTTTTACGATCTGTCAAATACTATATGATCCTGGAACTACCTGGATCAACATACTTGAACATGACTATGATCCAACGGTTCAAACCTGCCGAACCCGGAAATCACACACTAGGCGAGATCCGTTTGGGGTTCAAACGTTATCCGAATTAAGACCCGCGAAATCCTACGCACTCGTGAGGACCAAGGGATTATTCTAGGACTGATTGTGGTTCCCGCCCTGCTGTCCACGCGCCGCCACATGCGCTGGCAGCACGTGGCGCCTAAAGCAATAACGCTTCGCCAGAAAAACTCCAAATCACAACTCAAGACTCTTACCCTAGGTGTAACACCCTATTTGGAGCCACTTTTGTTCTTGGACCTACCCCAAAAACTGGCCGGAAGTGGCCGGAATCTCAACCTAAAATCTGGCTAAACTTTGGATCCAAGATCGAGTTATCTACGCTAGAAATTTCTGAAACCAGCAGCTAGGGCTCGAGAAATATATGAGTTTCCATACCTAGATCATCGGAAATGGTTCCCGGATGACGGAAAACGAGCCGGCGAAAGTTTACGAAAAATTGTCCGACACTGCCTGTTTCTTGGCTGTTTCCGGCGACTACAGCGGTGGATCGGGGCCACAAAGAGCTGGGGCTGGAAGAGGGAAGTGTGGTGGTTCTAACGGGACTGGTCTTGCTCGAATTGGGGGTTGGAGTTGAGAGAAAACACCTCCCGAAGTCGGCTGCCCGAGCCCCACGAAATGCAGAAAATTCTGGGTTTAAAACTAACTAAACTTGCTCTCTATGCAACGGTATAACTGTTACATGTTGGGTTCAGTTTCTTTCAAAAGGGTCAACTTTTAAACCATTAAAATATTCTAGGGGTATAGTGGTCTTTTACTGGAATAAATTAATAATTAAATATTAATTAAGGACCAGGTTGTTACATGTTGGGTTCAGTTTCTTTCAAAAGGGTCAACTTGGAAAAATCCCAAGTGGAAACACCTTTTCAAAACACTACAAACAGAGGCTAAAACAAAACCAAAACCCCATATATTCTCATTTCTCCCCTCTTCCACTCCTCAAATCGTTCCATTCCAAAAACATTTCAATGAATTCGAAACATTTCACTACACTCGGAGGAAAGAGAAAGAAGCATTTCCATATGGATATGCCCTAAGCCTTCATCCCGGAGTTAGCTTGATTTAAAGTGATGTTATATGTGGCAACCCAATCATCGGAAGATCTCTTCCGTATGGCATCTGTGTGCCCATTGTTCCATACGCTGGCAAACACTCCACAAGTGTGGAACACCATTTCAATGGCAAAGTACCCAGACCATCATAGCTGGTACCATGCTAATCCTGCAATCCAGCATTTCTTGCAACAATGCAGGGCTTGCGAGAACCCTGAGTCAATATTTAGAGAAGTGTTCGAAGTGTTTTTCATGCAGGGTAACGTGGAAGCGTTGTATAGGATGCGCATTGCATCCACGACAGGCCATATGGAAGCGGCATATCTAGTTGGACTACTTGGCATGTTCGGAATTAGTCAATCAAAAGAGGATGCATTAGAATTTTTGTGTGCTTTGAATCAACGTAACAACATTGATATGAAAGGAACCAGGGATGCTTTGAAACGAAGATTAAGCCAAGTTTTCTCTGTTGCAAGACACATCGTAGATATGTTTTACTATGGGAAGATTAAGTTCAATCACTGCAGCGCTTCTAACAACAACGAATGGTGTTTTGTTATTCAAGGCTGGCCTACTGAAGCAAAGATAAATCCTGCCTTCTGGACTTGTTGCAATCGATGCAAATGGCACCGTGAGAGTGTTTTTTGGTTCAAGGTGATGCGTGTGTATGTTGTGCCGGGAATCCATACCCTTATAATTAGTTGTAGTATGTTTTTACGGTTTTTATGCATTGTGGACTTGCTTCTCTTTAGTTCTAGGTTGGCTGGCTATGTTGTACAAATGTTGTTTACATGTTGGGTATTAATCTATATTTTGTCTGGTGTTTGTGCTGTCATAAACCATTTTATATATAAATGTATAATATATATTATATAGTGGAATGATTACTGACATCATAAATGCGTACGAATGACGTTTTATTAACACAGCCATTTTGCACAACTGCAATCTTAATATTTGGTAAACGAAAATGCATGCATGGAGTGAATAGGTGTCTTTTCACCGGAGCTTGGGAATGACATTTTCCCACTTATCATATCCCAAACAATTTGGTTACACGTTTTTTAAGCAAAACTTGAACAATGAATGACTTTTAATAATTTTTTCCTGATCTTGTAGAATGGATGGCTTGTATATTTCCATTTTATTTTTCAAAACATCCCTTAACCCTAAAAAAGAAAAAAAATTAACAAATTGAAGAAGAGAGAAACTAATTAGCACCAAAAATAGTCTATTCGCACGCAAAATAAAAATAAAAATAAAAATTTTGAGTAAATATAATTAACAAATGTACAGGCTAAAAAGTAATATAATAATTTAGGGTTAATAATAATAAAATACTAATGTAGCTTAACCATGAAACAGGGAATTCAGTAGGAAGATGAAGTCTCAATGAGTTCATAGCAATTTTCGGAACATTATTGTGATTTTTGTGTATTTAATTATGAATTTTCTAAGAAAAAATAATAAAATAATAATTTATGGTAAAAGGCAAGGATGTGGCCATGTTGACTGACGTACACTTGTGCAAGTGGTGAAAGGTGACAGGCTGAGATATCGCCAGGTGTCCTCTTGCAATTATTTTGGCTTTTTTAGTGCAAAAATCTTTCAAAAAGGTAATAGATAGTAGAAAAATCCTAAAAATGCCCCGAAAATTACTCCGGCCTCCTTGTGACATTATAAAACTAGGGGAACCTATAAATCATCCGTTTCGCAATGAAAAAATTGGAATTGTTTTAGATAACTCACTTTCCTCTTAACCCTAAGTATATATGTTTGTTAACTTCAACTTCAATAATCTACATCAACAAGCATCTCTCGTTAATGTTCGGAATTATTTTGTAAAATATGTAACCTTGAATCGGGTTATTTAGTAAGGGAGTTGGAGTCTCAATGAGTTCATAGCAATTTTCGGAATATTTTTCTAATTTTTGTGTATTTAGTTATGAATTTTCTAAGAAAAAGTAATAAAATAATAATTTAGGGTAAAAGACAAAGATGTGGCCATGTTGACTGACGTACACTTGTGCAAGTGGTGAAAGGTGATGGGTTGAGATTGCGCCAAGTGTCCTCTTGCAATTATTTTGGCTTTTTTAGTGCAAAAATCTTTCAAAGAAGATAATAAATAATAGAAAAATCCTAAAAATGCCTCGAAAATTACTCCGACCTCCTTGTGATGTTATAAAACTAGGGGAACCTATAAATCATCCGTTTCTCAATAAAAAAATCGAAATTGTTTTAGATAACTCACTTTCTTCTTAACCCTAAGTATATATGTTTGTTAATTTTAACTTCAATAACCTACATCAACAAGCATCTCCCGTTAATGTTCGGAATTGTTTTGTAAAATGTGTAACCATGAATCGGGTTATTTAGTAAGGGAGCTGGAGTCTCAATGAGTTCGTAGCAATTTTCGGAATATTTTTCTAATTTTTGTGTAATTAGTTATGAATTTTCTAAGAAAAAGTAATAAAATAATAATTTAGAGTAAAAGGCAAGGATGTGGCAATGTTGACTAACATACACTTGTGCAAGTGGTGAAAGGTGATGGGCTGAGATCACGCCAGGTGTCCTATTGCAATTATTTTGGCTTTTTTAGTGCAAAAATCTTTCAAAGAGGGTAATAAATAATATAAAAATCCTAAAAATGCGTCGAAAATTACTCCGACCTCCTTGTGATGTTATAAAACTAGGAGAATCTATAAATCAACCGTTTCACAATGAAAAAATCGGAATTGTTTTAGATAACTCACTTTCCGCTTAACCCTAAGTATATATGTTTGTTAACTTTAACTTCAATAACCTACATCAACAAGCATCTCCCGTTAATGTTTGGAATTGTTTTGTAAAATGTGTAACCATGAATCGGGTTATTTAGTAAGGGAGCTGGAGTCTCAATTTTCGGAATATTTTTCTAATTTTTGTATGTTTAGTTATGAATTTTCTAAGAAAAAGTAACAAAATAATAATTTATGGTAAAAATCAAGGATGTGACTATGTTGACTGACGTACACTTGTGCAAGTGGTGAAAAGTGATGGGCTAAGATCATGCCAGGTGTCCTCTTGCGATTATTTTGGCTTTTTTAGTGCAAAAATCTTTCAAAAAAGGTAATAAATAGTAGAAAAATCCTAAAAATGCCCCGAAAATTACTTCGACCTCCTTGTGACGTAATAAAACTGGAGGAACTTATAAATCATCCATTTCGCAATGGAAAAATCGGTATTATTTTAAATAACTCACTTTCCTCTTTACCCTAAGTATATATGTTTGTTCACTTTAACAAGTATATATTACTCTTTGTAAAAATACAAGAATTAGTTTCCTTTCATATATAAGGATGTAAAATTATATGTTTTATTTTATTTTATAATAATGTACATATATAATAATTGCACACTGCTTTGAAGTCATCATTGCAACTGCACCTAGAGCTTTGAACATGTCAGAGGTATTCAATAAGTTGTCCATATGCAACTGCTCCTAGAGTTTTGAACACGTCACAGCTATTCAATAAGTTGTCCATATGACGCTGCATTGGGAATTAGTAATTTTCTATCATGTCCAATCACATAAAATAATACCATACTTTTTCTGAAAAACCTCACACCAGTCAAGCAATTTTAAAATATTAGTGAATATTTGTCCTAGTCTATATGAGTGATTATATATTCACTTTGCATTTTTTTCACAGTATATGTTAACTTTGGGGATTCCACAAACATATAATATAAAGACAGAAAGCAATAGTAGGAGATGAACCAGTACAAAAAATAATGTATAACTGGTACAAAATAATGCCATAACCTCGTCACAAATGCACTCACAAATGCTTTTCCATAAACCTTACTCGAACATATAATAAATAAAGGCAACATTGCATATGATGCAACCATGTCCAAATCTGATACGTGATAAATAAAAAATGGACATGCTAGCTGTTTGTGCAAATATTCTCGCGGGAGAATATTCGTTTCTAGATCCTTCAACCTTCGATCTTCCTTCTCTCTCTTCCTCAATTCCTGTAAAAAAGACTGGAGTAAATAGACCACACCCGGGGGGTGTTGGCCAAAGGCCCTCCGATGTCTAAGTTAGTTCGGGTGTTTGTAGGAAAACAATAGCTAAGCAAAGGGTATGAAGTTGTATATATGGTGTGAACTGCGTGGTCGGAGCCGTGTGTGGTGGCCGGAGCCGTATGGAGAAAATATGGAGAGTGGAGAGGGAGAGAGAGCTTCAGGTATCTTTCTCGGGTTTAGGAGTAAGTTTAGATGTACCTTGAATGATGAATGAAGTAGTCTATTTATGGGAGCCTCGGGGCTAGGGTTTCGTAAAGAATATGATGAGTTTATTCTCTATCCAAATTCGTAGGGATCGAGTCGGACTTGATATTATCTTCTCTTTATTGAAGATAATATCTGAATTAATGATATTATCTTCTCTTTATTAGGATAATATCCGAATTAATGATATTATCTTATTAAATAAAGATAATATCCTATTAATTAAGATATTTATCCCAATTAATTAATTGGCCAGATAAACTAGTTCAATTAATTAATTTAAGAGATAATTTTCTTTTCCACGTGGCGTGCCGTGATTGGAGACGGAAATATTTGCTCCCACAGTAGCAACATATGACTGAAGTGGATGGGCACTTTGCATCTCGTGTTATTGTAATTAAAGGCATCAAAATATTAAGGTTGAAATCTTCCATAGTAGTAAGCATCAAAATAGGTTTGAAGCAGAGTTTAACGAAAATTCCAATTCCACTGATTTGCCTCTGCTCAAACACGAGAACCAAAATGGTTACTTCCCTTGCTGAGTATATTTGTTAACATCGGAAACGGTAATAGATGACCAATCAAACCCGGGTACGATGAGTTTTGCATAGGATCGGAAGTAGTTGAATCCAGCTTGCGTCACACTCTTCTTTGACTCCAATGCATTTGATGAGTTCTTGTATTTTTGAATAGCTACACTTCGAAGTTGTTTGTGTCTACGCTTCATGCGCTGCAACTTCGCCCCATCCAGATTGGCCTACCTTTTGTCATCTTCAATTTGGCCTTCAACAAATTCCAAACGTGCCATTGCTTTTTGGATTTCATCACCAAGTTAAAGATACCTCTCCTTCCAGAAAGCAAGAACTCTTTCAGACTCAAAACTTCCAACAAAATGATCATTCTTCCTAGGAATGTGACACTGCTTGTCTGGTGACTCACTTGCGTTTCAAAGGCGGTTTTTGTTTGGAGGGGTGTTTATTATGCTCACATCAAACTTGGTTAGTAAATCCATTCTATGGGGGAAGAGAGTTTCTGTGGAGGAGAGAGTTTCAGTAGATGGAGACAGATTCGGTGGAGGAGTGAGTTTTTTTGTGGAGGGAGAGTTTCTATGAAGGGGGTGATAGTAATACCAATAAAAGGGTTAGTTTGGTTGGGTTCACTAAGTTTAATCCTAACTAGTTTGGTTAGTTTGGTTGGGTTCACTAACTAGATGTCACTTCAATTGAGTTTCTTTCAATCACTAATAGTGGTGCAAGGAGAGTGTGAGGTTGACATGCTTGAAAAGCAAAATCTAACACCTCTTTTTTTAAAATTGAAATAAAGTACATATGTTGACTACACACTAGCTTTGGTATGTTGGTCTATAAAGCTATGTCCCTTTTCTCAAACGAAATTGCATATGCAATCCTCATCCTCTAAAACAAATAGGATTATTCAAGCATGTCAACCTCTTCAGGCACCAACAACACAGTCGAAGATG